AAAGTATTAGGTGTGTCCCGCGCGCTCATATGACCTTATGCAGTTGCGAGCGCCGTAAAACCCTATACTAAACAAACAAACAACAAAGACTTTGGAGAGATCACAAACAGGGCACGACATAGGCCCTACTAATAAAGCCCACGCTCACCACTTTCCCGACCTGCTCTCGTCCCTTTCGTTCGCATTGACTGCACGATCAGAGACTAAAAGTTAAGTATATTATTAACCCCTTCTATTTCATCCCTGTCCCTCCAAGCACACTCCAAGCAGGTATACAAAATGCTAGTAAGAAAAACGAAGATAGAAAAGAGAAAAATATTATATCTAAAAGCGTGTCTATCCGAGCACTGATTTGGTTATGTCTAGAGAATATAAATATTATTATGTATTTAAGCTTATCTGCTCTGGCATTGGTTTGGCTTTCACTGAGGTAAATACTGTCCACGTATTCACAATACTAGGGACATTCGCCTAAAAACATGGTCGTCAGAAGACAGAGCAAGTGGGTTCTTAGACGGAGCGGGTTCTTAAGCTGATTAAAAGAGGCGCAACTGAGCTTCTTCACTTAGATGATACATGTATTAAGGTAGACAGAGCGTTTTATTCTTTTAAAAAATAGAAAGAAATGTGTGTGTATGTGTGTGTGTGTGTGTGTGTGTGTGTGTGCGCGCGCGCGGGCACGCACGTGTGTTTATATGTGTGTATGTATATGTAATATATATATGTATGTGTTTGTGTGTGTATGTGTGTGTGTATGTGTGTTTGTGTGTGTTTATATGTGTATGCCTATGCAGTTTCCTATACTTGAATATATGCTTGAATATAGAACTAGTGTCTTAGGAAGACGGGGTGCACCATGCTTACTTGCCCTTCTTTATAAGGGTCCATTTCAGTGTGGGCTAGCTAATTGTTTCCTTCATCAGTGGTTGTCACAGCGTCTGATTGGGTAACCCAGGCTACTCCTCCTGCCTTCACCAGGCTGTATTCATTTCTCTATCACAATCTCCTTCGTGAAAGATTCCTCTTCACAGCTGCAGGCGAGGAGATCTTGGACAAGGGCTACTACAGTTGGAGGATCAAGAGTAAGCACTCCCTCTATGTTTGCAGAGCGTGCTAGCTTATCTGCTCTTTCA